GCAAAATGCCAATGCAGCGGGCTGACAGACTAGAGGTTCCTCTAGGCCTGGGCCCATTTGCACAGTCCCGCGCGGAAGCACTCCTTCGGCGCCATCTGCACTGCGCCGCTAGTGCACGCAACCCTGCACCGACGCAGCACGTCGAGCACGCTCGCTAGACCAGCCCGCCTCAGCAAGGCAGCGCCAGACAAAGTCTGCACAGCCTTCTTGAACTCGGTGGTGCTGTGGCGGCCGACATTGCCGACTCGGCGCAGAGTGTTCTCGATGTGGCCCTGCGTCGATTCGGCGCTGTTGTCCCCCGCCACCAGCTTGAAGCACAGCTTCGTCTCCTGGACAGCGGGGGGTTTGCCGCGGCAATGGCGGCGCAGCATGGCAGCCGTCTTCCGCGCCAGCTTGCTTTTCAGCAGCCTCGTGACGGGCGTGAACACCTTCTTCTGGTGGTTCACTCCAGACAGAGAAGCCACGCCGATCTCCTCGGCTGCGGAGTGGAAGGCGCGCGCGCCGTCTGGGGCTAACACGGAGCCAGGGCCCATGGCGCCAACCAGAGGGCCGCGGACCTCCTCGAGGGACTCAGGGCCGCCAGGGCCGCGCTTCGCCGAGGAGTGCCTCGCTTTCAAAGCCTTAGCCGTCCACTTCTTGGAGAACCTGCCCTTGTGCACGAGCACGCGCCCCTCGTGGCTTTTAGCACCGCCACGCAACTTCTTGCAAGCCATGCGGGAGCTGTCTGGCTCGACCACGTCGTCCTTGAAGACTGTCTCGAGGGCGTTCTCCACCTCCGTGTACGCCAGGGCTACCTTGTGGGCATCATAGAAGTCCTGCACCTTGCGCACAGTGGCTCGGATGGTTTCGCCCTTCCTGCGCACAAACTGAGCTGCTGCGTCGTTGGGCACCTTGCATCCCAAGGCATAGGCGGTACGCAGGCACATGCTGTAGTCGCGCTCGTTGCCACTGGAGTCGTAGCGATGGAACGGCGTGAAGGCCGCGTCAGGTTTGGCCAGGCGCGGGCGACCGCACTTCGCCCCCATGCACCTGAAGCCCTCTCCCTGCTTGTCCATCTGCTCGCCGCACTGCCAACATGCGAATGACTTCGCCTCGCACCTGCGCGGGATAACGCCCGCCTCCACCAGCATCTTCTTCGCGGCGTTCTGGCTCAAGCCGACGATCTCCTCGAACGAAGGCTGCTCCAAACCACGCAGCGTGATCGCGTCGGGAGCGGCGGATGTGGCTTCTCCGCCGTAGGTCAGGCCGTCCTGGTGGAACTTCGAGTTCGCGCGGCGAGCCTTCTCGCTGCGGCCGGCGGCGCACTTGCCGATGGTCTTCATCGCCGTCGTCGGCTTCGCCTGGACAGCGCGGCTGGCGGCGCCCTTGCCGATGGTCTTCATCACCCTCGTCGGCTTCGACGTGGCGGCGCGGCTGGCGACGCCCTTGCCCTTCGCCCTCATGTTCTTCATCGGCTTCGCCCTGGCGGCGCGGCTGGCGGCGCCCTTGCCTGCCGCCACCGCGCCGAGGCATGGGCGCGGCGTGGTAGAGGAAGCGGCTAGCCCTGAAGCAGCTTGAGCCAACTGGCAACGCAACAAACAAACGCTGACTGCTCGATGTGCAAACTGGCGCGATGGTATCACGAACAAGGCGATGCCTCCTCAGAGAGACAGACCTCGCCGAGCGCAGGAGAGGATATGCGGAGATGGCGACGATGGACAAGAGGATGGGGGGCGAAGCGAGAACGAGGGAACGGTGAACGAGGGGGGACATGGCGAGGGCGGAGCTGCAATGCGTCGGTCAATGTTTTCCTATTTGCGTTTGATAGATGTGCCGCGCTCGCACGGAGAAGTCCCAGGCAATTAGAAATCATTCTGCAACCGTGCCTCTTCTCTCAGTTAATATATCCCGCCGGGTCCTCTCCGACGCGCAGATCACCCAGCGGGCGCGCTCCGTCGCCCTCACTTCCTGCTGAGCCGCACTCAGAACTTCCCACACGTGAAGCTGACGTTGGCCTTCTCGCCGACTTTGGTCAGCACGTCGCGCAGCTTGTCATCGTTGCCCAGCGAGCCGAAGCGAACGATCAAACCGTCGAACATGTAAACGAGAACCTGGACCCCCTCGCCGAACTCGCGGGTCAATGCCTGGTGGACGTTCATGATGAGCTCGTCCTCGATGGCGCTCAGGGCATAATGCAGGCGAGTCGCCATGGGGAAGCGCCGATCAGCGAACTTCGAGTTCAGGTGATGGAACCGCGGCTTCTCCAGGATCACTCGGGTCGCTGTGCGAAGCTCGACTGCGAGCGACCACAGTAATGGCAGCTCAGCCTTCGGCTCGCCACAGTGGAGGATGCTGATGAGCTGCTTCTTGGCCTCCTTGACAGTGATGCCCAAGTAGCTTGCCAGCAAACTGCGGAAGCCACGCGGGTTACGAACATACGCAGTAAACGTCTCGTACTCGATCTCAGTGCCGCCGCCCACAACGTCGTTGAGCTCGTTCCACAGAAACTGCACGAACGCGTTGACACAATCAATGTCGTAGTTCTCGAAGACGTCACCGTACGAAGCGTCGATGTCACACTGCGAGCGGAACGCGTGCTTCTTGAGTGCCGTCTTGAGGCCCTGTGCGCTCGGGCCGTGCGCGTACTCCCTCCCCTGCATGTCGTACTTCCTGTAGTAAGTGACGGTGAGGCTTGAGAAATCACTCTTCCGAATGCCGTTCTCGCGGTGGCGCGCGATGTAGCGCCTGGCGTAATCGAACTCATTGCCCTCCTTGTTGCCAACTTCGTTCTCCAAGGCCACGATGTTAATTGTCTCTGTCAGGCTGCGAGCAACCTCAGAGGCGACCAGCACCTCCGAGTTCAGGTGATGCTCTTCGCCTGGGCTGAAGTCGCGGAGCTGCGAGCGCAGGTCCCAATACACACCCCACCCTTCCAGGCCCCCCGCGAGCGAGTCGCGGCCAGCTGCGTCGAGGAGGGCCTCGAGAAAGTTCAGCTTGACGTTCAGCTTGAGCACGTTGCCCCCGTCGATGCGGAAGATGTAGGGGTAATCATTGACTGCGTTTTCGAAGTGATGCTACCGCGACTTGCCGCTCCTCTCCCCCGCGATGGCGCCAGGGATCGGATTGTCTTTCTTCTTCACGAGGTCGTACATTTTGATGCTGAGGCAATCGCCACCGAGCCGCGCGTGAACCTCCATCAGCAGCGCCTTAGCCTCATGCGCAACACGCTGGCGACCGCGAGCGTCCATCCACTCCTTCGGGAGCTCCAACCCGCCGTTCGCCATTTGGGCCACGACGCGCTGAGTCGCCTCCACTACTTCAGCGGAAGGGTTCTTGAGGATCTGGCGGCACTCCTCAGCGTTGTACTTCTGCATGAAGGGAATGAGGTAGGAACGGATGTAGACGAGACGGGCTTCTGGGCTTTCCAGGAACGCGGTCAAGTCCTTCTCGTGGAAAACCTTGCCATCGACGTTCACCTTGGAGGGGTCGCTCGTGAACACGGCGCCGAGTTCGATGACGGCAAGGCGGCGCCAGAAGGACCGCAGCGAATGCATGTTGCGCCAATCGCCTCAAATGGACGGGTAGGTGCGGTTCCACTCGAAGTACTTGACGCAGCGAAGCCAGCTGAACAGGTCAGTACTTTTCCCGAAGAGGGCCCGGCAGGCAACGTACTCACCACTGAGCCAGCGCTTCACCACGTCCTCGATCCACGGCACGCCGCCCTGATTCTCCTGCACCGTTGCAGCTCGGGCACGCGCGAAATGCTTCCCTCGTTTTCGGAATTCCTCTGGGACTTGCAGCACGTCGCTCGAGACGAAGTGGCGGTGCTCCCCCAGCACGTTCGCCCGCAGGGCAGCCTTGGCAGATTTGGCGTTGCCGCCGTCGCCTGTCATGATCAGGCCAATCTGCGGGGAGGGGACGTCGTACCACACTAACGCTTCTGCTGCCATGTCCATCCTGCGACCCTCGGGGTTCCCAGCGAAGGAAGTGCACAGGAACAGGCGCATCTCCTCCTCGTGCTGCCAAGATGGCTTGTAGTCAAGCGACACAGGCACGCCCAGGTAGCAGTGGTTCGAGGGGCTCTTCTTGACAGAACGGAACCTTTCATCCGCGGACCCCTCGCGGGAGATTTTCAAAGTGACGTTCTGCGCGTTGACAAAGGCGCCCTCGGACGTCGGCTTCGGGATCTGGAAGAACTGGCCATATGACTCTATGAACCCAATGCTCTTGCCTTTGGTGGAGTAGCGCTGCGTGAGGTCGAGCGCAACGCGCCCGCCCTCCTTGGACCAAGCGGTCGGGTCTCCCTGGCGGGGCCGACCGAAGTCAGCGTGGCACGCAGCGGTGTTGGCTGAGATCGCTCCATGGTGCTGTCCGACCTCCTGAAAGACAGCCGCCACGTCTCGCTTTGTCTCCTTGGAGACGAGGAATGCAAAGACTTTCGCCGCGCAGCCGAGGACCGCCAAGATCTTCCTGATGTACGGGTAGTTGATCTCCTCGACAAACGCCCAGTCTCCATTGCCGTACAAGTAGACGCCGCCCTCGTGGGCGCGGAAGCTCTCCCCGCACAGCAGGTCGATGACGCGCGTGGCCAATATGTCATTGGAAGCACTCCAGACGTGATCCTCCTTCACATACATCGCCACGAGGTACATGGCAGACTTCATCACTTGACTCGGTTGAACCGTCCAGGAAGAAATCAAGTTCTCCACCTCGTCCTTCACCTTGTCGTTCGCCTCGCGCAGGGTCTCCTCCTCGGGCAGCACCTCTGGCTCGAACTCGATCGGGCGCATTTGATCGACAAGCTCTGCGAACTCGTCAGGCTCCCACGCTTCGATGACCCGCTTCACTGCGGCGGACCGAGAAGGCGGGCGAACTCCAGAGTCATCGGGCGTAGGAGCATCCAGTATTCCTTCGCCAAGCTCTCTGGAGTACTGACTCTCGGCCATCCCCTGCACCCCGCGCCGCGGAGGGCTGCGCCTGCGAGCCGAGGGTGCCTTGAAAACTTGAGCCAGGGTGGCGACTGAGAGTGTGCTACAGTCCGAGATGGTTATCCTGACGAGGGCCGCCTTTTGAGTAACAAGCTCTAGATACAGGAAACAATATCGATTTCTAGAATGGCAGTCTGCTGGCGCTGGTGCTGGTTTTGTGCACGATTTTGATGCGTAGGGGGGATATGTGGCGTGGCTGCCATTGCCTTAGACGCGTGCTGATGGGTGTCCAGAGGTCTGGTTTTAATTAGGAAACCATAAATACAAGAAGTGATATCGATTTCCCAGATTTCCATGCGCTGGCATTTCTACGTGATCCCCAACAGAATTCTGATCGGAAGGCGCTCCCAGAAAGGAGTTATTGGTTCTGCTTGTGATATTGCTGCGATCCCCCTCCTCCTCCGCCTCCTCCTCCTCCTCCTCCTCGTCATCCTCATCCATCTCCTCCTCGTCCTCCTCATCCCTCTCCTCCTCCTCCTCCTCCTCCTCCTCCTCCTCCTCCTCCTCCTCCTCCTCGTCATCCTCATCCATCTCCTCCTCGTCCTCCTCATCCCTCTCCTCCCCCCGCTACTGTACAGGGGGCCTTTTTCAGGTTCCCTCTCCAGCGCATCGCACAGGCCAGGAAGCCTTTTCAGGTTTCCCCTCCCTCGCCCGGACAGGGGGCCTTTTTCAGGTTCCCTCTCCGACACATCGCGCGGGCCAGGAAGCCATTTCAGGTTTCCCCTCCCGCCGCTGGACAGGGGGCCTTTTCAGGTTCCCTCTCCAGCACGCCGTGCGGGCCAGGAACCCTTTTCAGGTTTCCCCTCCCGCTGCGGGACAGGGGGCCTTTTTCAGGTTCCCTCTCCAGCACACCATACGGGCCAGGAACCCTCTTCAGGTTCCCCCTCCCGCTGCGGGACAGGGAGCCTTTTTCAGGTTCCCTCTCCAGCACACCATGCGGGCCAGGAAGCCTTTTCAGGTTTCCCCTCCCGCTGCGGGACAGGGGGCCTTTTCAGGTTCCCTCTCCAGCACGCCATGCGGGCCAGGAAGCCTTTTCAGGTTTCCCCTCCCGCCACTGGACAGGGAGCCTTTTTCAGGTTCCCTCTCCAGCACATCGAACGGGCCAGGAACCCTTTTCAGGTTCCCTCTCCAGCACATCGCACGGGCCATGTACAGTCCGACGACCAAGTCCCCCGAGCTCGGAGGAAGAAGCCTCTGACCACGACGGGGGGTACAGCGCCTGTGACACGAGCCCAAAACGGTCAGGCGCCAGATTCAGTTTCTCTCCTCCTCCTCCTCCTCCTCCTCCTCCTCCTCCTTCCTGCTCCTCTTGCTCCTACCTCGAATGGGTATGTACTGTCCGAAGACTAAGTTCCCCTCCTCCTCCGAGGAAGCCCCAGAGGCATCCACGATCATCTCATAAGCGTGCCCGCAGCCCTTCCTCGCCAGCATTGGATTCTATGGTTTTCCTGGTTTTCTTGATTGGCGGTGACGTTTTCTTGATTTTTCATTGTGTTTTCTTGGTTTTCTTGGTTTTCTTGGTTTTCTGGGCTGCCCCCCAGGGCGCCGTCGGCAGGCCTGCGGTCTTCGGGGGCCCGCGGGCGGGCCAGGAAATCAAGAAAACCAAGAAAACCAAGAAAACACAAGGAAAAATCAAGAAAACGCGCCCGCCAATCAAGAAAACCAAGAAAAGCATTGGTTTTCCTTCTGCAAGTGAGGATCCCCAACGGCAGTAGCACCCCCAGCAGCCCCGCCAGGGGTGGTAGCCTGCGCGGCTGTCGGCGCCGAGGTGGGCGCTGGCGTGGGACTGGGCGTCGGGCTGGGCGTCGGACCGGGCGTCGGGCTGGGCGTAGCCGGAGGAGCGGCCACCTTCAAATAGCACTGGCCCTGGATATGATTGACCTCCGTGACTTCACAATCCCAATCTAGAAAAGCTTGATTACTCTGAAAGTTGGTGATGCTTGCGGGCCGGATGCTGGCAGTGTTGGGCGCCGCATAAATAAAGCATCCTCCGTATCCATGTCCGAATTGCAAAGCTTGACACCACGAGTAGCTGGAGCAGACATCCTGACAGTCCGCTACATCGTAACCCAAGTCGGACCAAGCCGTTGAAACGTAACGGTTCACAGCACCATTGCCAGTGCAACGACAATCTCCATCACCAAGCAATGTGTACGAGGATGTGTGGGTGCCCACGTCCAGCTTCTTCTTCTTCTCGACAGTTTTCGCGTCGACCGTGGCGTTGAGCTTAGCGAGCTCCCTCTCGAGGGCGGCGGTATCGTGCGGCACGTCCACGTCGATATCGTCGACGGTCCCCTGGGCGACGGCAGCGGCCCCCACGTCGTTGCGTTGGAGGAGGGCCTCGATCGAGGGCGTGAATACCATCACCAGAAAAGTGGTCCGTGCCGCCTTCCAAGCGGCCACCATCCCGCTAAATTGTGCTGGACAAAAAAGAGGAAATCGGAAGTCCAGTTTGCAGGAACACAAGAACCCTGTTGACTGCTCTGATTTGGCAATCAATGCTTGAGCCAAAATGGCCACGGAGCGAAAAGTATACAAGGGCCTTGAAGGGCCATTTTAAACTTTTTCGAACGAGGTTGGCCAGTGAGGGTCGAAGAGGATGGGGCGACGGGGCAAGGATGCAAGGGTAGCCTTGGACAGTTGCTCATCCTGACTATGCGGGTCGACTGTAAAGGTGGCTTGGCTTCGCAGCCATCGTGCTACCATGAGGCACACCGAATAAAAAGGAAGGGAGGCACTTGTCTCTGACCACGGTGAGCCTGGGCCAGGAGGTCCCCCCAGGCCTAGATATGAGCGACGGACCCTCAAAGCCAGAGCCCCTTCTGAACCCGACATGGTCTATATGTCGGCGCCAGAAGAGAAGAAGAGACAGAGAGCGAGCGAGACAGAGAGATGCCGTTCACAATCAAGGTGCGTGCGTTGGCAGAATGGTGAGACGACTGCCACTGCCAGTGGCGCAGCCGTGAAGCTATGAAACGCCAAGAGCTAGCGACAGCGCGGCGACGGTGACGACAACGTCGACGACGACGAGGAAAATGACGAAGCGAGAGGAGGACGTCGTCCGGGGATATCTGAAAAACTACAAAGTCGCGAGTTTCCAGTTCTCGCCAAACCTCCGACGTCACGCTCTTCAATGCTGGGTCCCTGGAGTTCTCGGCCCCTAGTCGTTACAAGTCTCCTCCCCCTCGACCTCGATAAAACTCGATGAAGAGGAGGGGGGAGGAGGCCCAAGAGAACTGGATCTGTACTGTCTTCCTGCCAGGAAATCAAGAAAACCAAGAAAACCAAGAAAACACGAGGAAAAATCAAGAAAACGCGCCCGCCAATCAAGAAAACCAAGAAAAGCATTGGTTTTCCTTGGTTTTCTTGATTGGCGGTGCCGTTTTCTTGATTTTTCCTTGTGTTTGCTTGGTTTTCTTGGTTTTCTTGATTTTCTGTGCTGCCTCCCAGGGCGCCGTCGGCAGGCCTCGAGTCTTCGGGGGCCCGCGGGAGGGCCAGGAAATCAAGAAAACCAAGAAAACCAAGAAAACAATGAAAAATCAAGAAAACGCGCTCGCCAATCAAGAAAACGAAGAAGAGCGAGAGAGAGAGAGAGAGAGAGAGAGAGCAGACGACGAAACATTCGTCTGGGCAAACGGAGGGGTCTGTGGGCAACGTTGTCAACGTTGGGCCCTCCCCCCCTGCCAGCGGAGGACCCGGAGCTCCCGGACCGGGAGCTCCGGAAGTTCCGGGAGCTCCCCGAGCTCCAGGTCCGGAGCTCCTGGAGTTCCCATTCAGGGACTGAGGCTTGCTTGCGTCAACGTGTTGTTCAGCCTCACGCGTAAGGACTGAGGCTTGCTTGCGTCAGACAGACGGCCCCCTAACGTTGTCCTGTTGTCAACGTTGGGTCTCCCTCCCTCTGCCAGCGTGTGCCGAAAGCCCAGGTGAGGCGCCCCCCCCCAAGGCGTCAACGTTGTCAACGTTGTCAACGTTGGGCCGCCTCCCTCCTCCCCCCTGCCAGCGAGGACCCAGCGCTGAAGGTGAGGCGCCCCCCCAAGGCGCCAACGTTGTTAACGTTGTCAACGTTGTCAACGTTGGGCCCCCAGGCCAGCAAGGACCCAGGGCTCCAGGTGAGACGACCCCCCAAGGCGCCAACGTTGTCAACGTTGTCAACGTTGTCAACGTTGGGCCTCCCCTGCCAGCAAGGACCCAGGGCTCCAGGTGAGACGACCCCCCAAGGCGCCAACGGTGTCAACGCTGTCAACGTTGTCAACGTTGGGCCTCCCTCCCTCTGCCAGCGAGGACAAAGGGCTCCAGGTGAGGCACCTCCCCAATACGCCAACGTTGTCAACGTTGTCAACGTTGTCAACGTTGGGCCTCCCCCTCCTGCCAGCGAGGACCCAGGTCTCCAGGTGAGGCGACTCCCCAAGGGGCCAACGTTGTCAACGTTGTCAACGTTGTCAACGTTGGGCCCCCCCTCTGCCAGCGAGGACCCAGGGCTCCAGGTTGGGCGTCCCCCCAAGGCGCCAACATTGTCAACGTTGTCAACGTTGTCAACGTTGGGCCCTCCCCCCCCTCCCTGCGGAGGACCCGGAACTCCAGGACCGGGAGCTCCCGGAGCTCCCGGAGCTCCAAGTCCGGAGCTCCCGGAATTCCCTTTCAGGGACTGAGGCTTGCTTGCGTCAATGTGTTGTTCAGCCTCACGCGTAGGGACTGAGGCTTGCTTGCGTCAGACAGACGCCCCCCCCCAAGGGGCTAACGTTGTCAACGTTGTCAACGTTGACAACGTTAGCCCCTTGGGGGTTGGGGGGCCAACTGTCTGACGCAAGCAAGCCTCAGTCCCTGAGAGGGAACTCCGGGAACTCCGGATCTGGAGCTCCGGGAGCTCCCGGAGCTTCCGGAGCTCCCGGTCCGGGAGCTCCGGGTCCTCCGCTGGCAGGAGGGGGGAGGGCCCAACGTTGACAACGTTGACAACGTTGACAACGTTGGCGCCTTGGGGGGGGGGCGCCCAACCTGACGCTATGGGTCCTCGCTGGCAGGGGGGAGGCCCAACGTTGACAACGTTGACAACGTTGACAACGTTGGCGCCTTGGGGGGGGCGCCCAACCTGGAGCCCGCGCTCCTCGCTGGCAGGAGGGGGGGGGCCTCAACGTTGACAACGTTGACAACGTTGACAACGTTGGCGCCTTGGGGGGGCGCCCAACCTGGAGCCCTGGGTCCTCGCTGGCAGGAGGGGCGGGGCCCAACGTTGACAACGTTGACAACGTTGACAACGTTGGCGCCTTGGCGGGGCGCCCAACCTGGAGCCCTGGGTTCTCGCTGGCAGGGGGGAGGCCCAACGTTGACAACGTTGACAACGTGGGGGGGCGCTCAATCTGGAGCCCGCGCTCCTCGCTGGCAGGGGGCAACGTTGACAACGTTGACTGGCGCCTTGGGGGAGCGCCCAACCTGGAGCCCTGGATCCTCGCTGGCAGGGAGGGGGGGGGGGAGGCGGGGGGGGACAACGTTGACAACGTTGACAACGTTGGCGCCTTGGGGGGGAGGGGGGGGGGCGCCTCCCCTACAGCCCTGGGATCCCGCTGGCAGCGGGAGAGGAAGGAGGGAGGCCCAACGTTGACAACGTTGACAACGTTGACAACGTTGACGCGCTACGGGATGGGAGTGACGCCGTGGCGAGTGTCCAAAAGCCTCAAGGCGCACAGCGTCCCTTTCTCAGGCGAAGGGACACCCCTTTCCTTTGATCCTCTGCTCGTCGGGGCGGGGGGTCTCGGGGGAGTAGGAAGGGGGGACGGGGGTGGGACGGCGAATACGCATTCCCCCCTGGGAGTTCCCGGGGCCTCAGAAAATATAAAGACAGGCCAAAGGGGGCCCCAAGAGGCCCCCGAGACGGTCCAAGAAGGCCCCCAATCGCCAAACGATCGATCCAAAACGCCTTCACGCCCGCTAGACTGCCCAAAAGGCCTTCAAGACGCCCCAAGAAGCCTCCAAGAGCCCTCCCAAGAGGGCACCAAGAGGCAAAATCAGCTCACGTTCATTAGGTGTTCAAAAGATTTGGGCATTCTCGCCGTTTCCTCTTCCCGCAGCTCCAAGACGGCCCGAGTGGCCCCAAAGATCGCCCCAAGACGGCACAAGAGGCCTCCAAGAGAGCCCAACAACAGCCTAAGAGGACCCCAAGACAGCCCAAAATGCATTCAAGACGGCACAAGAGGAACCCAAGACGGCTTCAAGAGCGTGCGCAGACGGGGGACCCGAACGGACATTTCGAGCCCTCGGCCCCGAGAGGCTCCCAGGAGGCCCCAAGAGGTTCCTAAGAGGCCCCAAGAGGCCCACAAGGGGTCCCAAGGGAGCCCGACCGAGAGGCTCCCAAGAGGCCTTCAAGAGCCTCCAAGAGGCCCAACATGTCCTCCCTAGAAGCGCCCAAGAGCCTTCCGAAGAGACCCCAAGAGACATCTGGGGCCGTCTTGGAGGCTTATTGCGCAAGCTTGGAGGCATCTTGGACGCTCTTGGGCCGTCGTGGAGGCCATCTTGGACCATCTTGGACGAATTTAAAAGCTTGGGCCATCTTGGAGCCATCTGGAACGCCGTTCGTAGCCACCTCTGGGCAAGCCTTCCGGGAGCCCAGCACATCGGCCGAAGCCCCAAGGGGGAGCTCTAAGCGAACCAAAACCCTGCCGAACTCTGGCACGCCAGGGACCCGTGTTGGCAAGCCAGCAGGGGGCAGCGGATCGAAGACGCCTACGGCGAATCACCGCCGCCCCCTGCCTTTTTGGAAGCGCCCATGTGGCCAAACGTTGAGGGCAGACCTGCCAAGCTTCCGGACCATGTGTTCCCCGAATCGGTTTGGAAAGCTTTCGGGGAACACGTGGGCATCCTGAAGTTCATCTTGGCCGTCTGGAGGCCATTTTGACCCTTTCGGGCCTTCTTGGAGGACGTCTTGGAGAACTCTTGGGCCGTCTTGGAGGCCATCTTGAGCGTCTTGGCGACCTCTTGGGCCGTCTTGGGGGCCTCTTGGGGCCGTGTCTTCGGCGATTTTTGGGGGCACTTGGGCCGTCTCGGGCCGTCGGAAGGCAGAAGAAAAGCAATGCCACAATCCTTCAAAACCATGGGAAATCAATGATGTTGGCCTTTTCGGGCCTTCCTGGAAGCCCTCTTGGAGGCCTCTTGGGCCGTCTTGGGCCATCTTAGGGCCATGTTCGGCCGTCTTGGTGGGCTCCTGGTCCGTCTGACGCCGTCGGAAGCCGTGTGGGGGGCCTCTATGGGCCGACTTGGAGCCCTCTTGGAATGCTCCAGGGCCGTCTTGGTGGCCCATCTTGGGCGTCTTAAAGGCCTCCTGTGCCGTCTTGGGGACATCTTGGGCAGTCTTGGAGGCATCTTGGGGCCATCTTAGCCGTCTTGGAGGCCATCTTGGGCCGTCTTGGAGACGTCTTGGAAATCATCTTGGAGGCCATCTTGGCCATCTTGGACGCCATCTTGAGCCGTCTTGGAGGATTTTTTGTGGACGTTGCGGTCCTGGGCAATCCTCCCGGGACGGGCCGAAGCGCCAGGGGGAGTTCTTTTGGAAAAAAATTATCCCGGCAAAGCAACCTAACAGCGATGTGTAGGAGCATATCTGGAAGCATTCCCCTTAAGATTCAAATGAGAATCCAGTTGTAG